CCAGCCGTGCGCGCGTTCGAGCCAATCACCGCCCCTTCGCCGCGGCGGGAGCCGGTCGCGCCCTTCTCTCAGGCGCCCGCGGTTTTACCTCAGGGGAAAGCGGGATGGCGGAGAGCGAGCTGCGCTCTGAGGAGAGTGAGGAGGAGGAGGAGCTGCCTACCTTAGCCTCCCTACTGCAGCCAGCGCCGCTGCCACCTCCCGGTGGGTTGAGCTACCGGCCGTCCTCATCTCCCGAGCCGGGGAGGGCGGCAGGAGTGGTTGTGGTGGTGAGCAGTGGGAGCGAGGATGAGGATGTGGTGGAAGTCGCCCCTCTGCCAGAAAGGATCAAGAGGAGGGTGGGAGCAAAGAGGGAGGTGACTTTTGAGCCCCCCGAGACGGGCGGTGGGGATGCAGCCAGGGGACCTGGCCTTGCTAGCGGTGAGCGGTTGGCACCTGTAAGCGGAGGGCCGCAGGAAACCCTGGTGTTATCTGGAGAAGTGTCCTGTGGCAGCCAAAACGGCACACGCAGTGCTGAGGGGGCTTCCTTGTGCCCGCTGCCAGCCTCTCGGACTGACTCTGCACATCAGCCTGGTAGGCCCCTGGTTAGCGGAGCAAGCCCAGAAACATCCCCTCCTCCCAAAAAATCAAAATATAGTCAGAAGGAAAGGGAGGCAATCTGCCAGGCTGTGTGGCAGAAGAGGAAGGAGCGAGAAGCACGGAGAAGGCAGCAGGAGCAGGAAAAAGAGAAGAAGAGGGCCCTTGCCAAGATACTGAAAGCTCAGCGACCAGGGGAGTGCCAGAAATACATAACAGTGGTGCTAGATCCAGGTACTTGTCCTGACAGCCTGCATCTGCCTTATATTGACTGTTGTCTCCTCTCTGTGGAGGCCTGACCCACACACTGATTTCAGTTCTCTTGCAGGTAGAAGGTGGTGGACAGATCCATAGTGCTTTGCAGGCTGCCAATTATTCCTGTGTGGTTGAGAATCAGGCTGTTCCCTGCAGCATCACTTGGAGGAGAAAGACTGTGTCATCTCAGGTGTGTGAGCAAAGTCTTAATGTTCTTGCCCTTTTCTTCCTCTGTTATTTGCACTCATTAGTAATTGTATTTAGCAACCCAAGCAAACACCCTCTAATCTCCCTGCCTCAGAGGTCTGAGTGGGAGCACTGGTTTAGAGTGAATTATAACGAGAATGTTGGTCTGGCTGTTTGTTTTCATATTTGAACAGATAGAAGAAGGTGATGAATGGGCAGAAGAACCAAATGTCCTGGTTCTGCTTCGCTTCGAGGAGTTTTTGGCCATGGTTCACCACTACAAACAAGTGAGAGTGCTTATGACATTTGTGCTCTCAAACATGTCTTTCTGTAAGGGTGGCATTTGTCATCCCTCTTCACAGCAGGAAGGTTTTGATGGGGAATGGAGTTATGGTTTCAGTAAACCGGAAATCTCTTTTTAGAAGCCATTAATAGATCGAAGCCAGTAGGGTTGTATAATGCAAAGTTCTGACAAACTTTCTTTCCCAGTTACGATTTTTCAGATATTTGAAGAAGTAACACTGTCATATCAAGTGGGATTATTTTTTATTCTTTCTGCCATAACTTTATGCCTGATTAAGTATTGCGTGCTTGCCCCTGACAAGCTGTGTGAACATACTGTTCTGCAGACCCAGCTGCAGAATTGGAGCCATAGGTTGCTGTACTTGCATGTGTACCTCGGAATGATTTAATTCCTTTTTTCTGTTGATCTTTGCAGGAGGCTGAGGGCTTTTCAGAAGGACAGAAAGAGACCCTACAGAGCTATGTAGCTCATGTGATGGAAAAAATGCCTGGGAAAATTCTGGCACTGGCAGTTGTTGAAGTAGAAAATTATTTCAGGTAAACTTTTTTCCCTCCAAAGTTTCTTTGTTGTCTCTGGCCTTGAAAAATGCTGTTACATGAATTCCTTCTAGCAAAGACTGGAGCATAAGAGGTTTGCCCATCCAGAACTGCTCCACTATTTGTTATATAGAAACAGAAGCAAAAGTTCATCCAGCCTGTTTCCACAGTGACCAATGGGAAATACCTGGGGAAGGGCATGAACTCCCAGTCTTACTTGACTCTTCTTTGGTCTCTCAGAATTCAGTCAAAAAAGAGACTACAACTGGCAGCAGCAAGCGGAAACCAAGAAGAGAAACAGGGAAAACAGAGAAAAAAGACAGTTAAGGATTCTGGCATGGAGATAACCAGACTGGATGTGGAAAATGTGAGTACCTTTAAAACAGGCATGCAGCCATCATCTCATGTTGTCTGCCATTGCTTGAACATTTGACCCAAACACACACTTTCTTGGAGGGAGGGATTCATGCTCCATTAGTCCGTGTGTCTGTGAGCAGAGCTCTTTGGGTTCAGTTCCCCACGCTCGGGTACATACCTGCTCTCCCATGGACTGATGTGTCGCCTTCACCTCGATCCTGGGCGGTGGAATGCCAGCCTCAGTCAGCATCCCTCGCCCTTGGGGGCCTGCTGGCAGAGCACATCAGCGCTGCCCTGGGCTGGGCGGCCTGCGTGTAACCAGAGCCTACCACTGAGGAGCTGCGGCAGCTGAAATGGTGCTATGCTGATGTTAACTGGCAGGAGACAGGCCACCCCTAAATACTTCAATGCTTTAAATTAACTTCCCAAAATGGGGAGAGAGCAGGTGTTCCTGTCCTGTAGCATGATGTGACCCTTTTTCGTTTCGGACAAGAGTGGAGTTTGATGTGAGAAGATTAATTGTTCCAGTCGTTTTTTCCAATGACTTTTACAGGCCTTGGTGGATCTGCAGCTGTGCAAACAAGTCCAAGTCAGCTTTTTCAAGAGCTGGGAGGAGCTTGGAGAATTTGCCACTATGTTCACAAAAGCTGTGGCTGAAGCACCATTCAAGTGAGTGAGTATATGAGGTTTGGTTGTGTCTCGGGAGTGGCTGCACTTTCACAGTTACTGGGAGGGAATCGCAGGTATGCAGCTGTGCTTCAGTACAACACAATATAATGACTTTTAAAGGTGTGGGAAACAGAGCAGCTGCTAATGCAGCTTCTTCAGCACAGGGCTAGTTCTTGGAAACTGATGTCCTGCCTGGGGAGGGGTGAGAAGAGACCTGGTTTCATGTTGGAGTCTTGAGCATCAAGCAAAGCTCTTGTTCTCAGTCAGATTTTAGGAGTGAGAAGGGAATGCAATAGGGTTGGGCTCTTACAGCACCAGCTTTTCTTCTTCAGTATGTAACCAAGAGAGACATTCAGAGAATGAACCATTTAGCTATTGTTTCCATTGATAAGGAAAAACAGCAGCATCTTGAAGAAACCCATCGTGTGCAGTTTTACACAATCCCAGCATTCCTATCACAGCAGTTGCTGTATTTTGCATCTCAGCCATGAGAAGAGATGTCATTAAAAATGACATGTAAAAGTGTTTTGTTATCATTGACAGGAAGTGAATTCTTGTTACTACTTTGTATGTATGCATGCTGGCTTGTGTCAGGATTGCTCCCAAGTACAGGATTGTTTCTTTTTCAGTAGGAAATCTGGGTCTTAAACAAGGAAATTGGTAATGCATGTAAAGAAAATAGGGTCAAATTTTTAGCATATATGGTGTCTATAGCAGCACAGAGTGCTCTCTGTCTCTGGTATGTGGTAAGAGATGCAGGGATAGGATCTTCTTCATAGACTCATTGTTTCATTTTCTTTTCCATTCTTTGATCTCCCTAGGCGAGAGCGAGAGAAGACGGGGTTCTCTTTCTACTTAGAGAAGGGGTGGTGTGGAGGGGTGAAGGTGGATCATTCTGGAAAGGGTCTCTTGGAAGTTTGGAAGAGACAGATTCAACAGTTTAACCGGGTCAGCCTCGAGATGGCTGAGGCTGTTGTGTCTGCATACCCTTCTCCTCAACTTCTGACCCAGGTGAGGATGCTTCAGGAACAGCAAGTACTGTGTGCACCCAGCCAACTAATGTAAGGAGCAGAAGAAATCATTTTATTGGTATTAAATTTGACACAACAGTTCTGTATGAGCCGTTTAGTGAGGCTTTAGAGAGCGGACTACTGAGGGTGCAGTATTGGTTTGCCATCAGCCTGTAAGCTCACCAACGAGATCCAGGGACAGGCCAGGTGAAAAATGAGCGCACATTGTGAGAGAGAGGGTAGGGCAGCCCCGGGTGCATAGCTTTGATTTTTTTTTTTGAGCAATGGATGCAAAGGAATGATAACAGTTCCTCCTTTGTGTTGGTTTTAGGCCTATAGCAGATGCTCCTCGGAGCAGGAGCGGGAAAACATGCTGGCTAATATCCCTGTGCGCCGCGGTGACGGTGTGACAGCCACCTCCCGGTGGGTCGGGCCAGAACTCTCCCGACGGATCTACCTGCAGATGACTTCCCACGATCCTGATCTCTATTTGGATTTCACTGGGTAACCCCAGGGAATGAGGATCTTTCTCTGCCTGTTAAAGTATTTATTCAGTTTCCTTTGGGAAGAAGCGCCTAGACAACAGTCATTGATCCTCGTTTAAAGGCTTGAAACACATTCAGACTTCATTGTAGCAGAAGGCTGGATAAAATCACTGAATGGCTGGAGTTTACACAAGAAAGATGATGAACATATTCCATTAAGAGCATGAGCTGGAGATGGATTATGGTACTGATACTTACTTTTATTTGTCTTCCTAGAAAATAAATAATTTTGAATAATAATAATCTTTGCTTCTTAACATGCCATCTTGAGTAGAGGCAGGTATGTCATCTGTTGAAAGGAATACTTTCTGCTATCCTAAACCGCAGATAGTTATCTTCTCTATCCAGTGTGAAAATTCCTAATGCTAAAAGCAACATGGTGCTGCCCCCCCCACCTGCTCTAGTGAGGTGGAAGAACTTTACCTCACTAAATAGACTCTCAGTTTTCCACTGTGGCAGATGGGAATGAGTAAGACTAATTTTCAGATATAAATTTAGACTGCCCTGATTCAGTCTCCAGACAGCTTAACCTACAGAGGGTCTTGAAATCTGATTATATACACTGGAATTACGAGGTCTGAACAGTTGGCAGAAAACGCTTTCTTTGAATTAGGCTGAGGAACATGCTCACCTGTCCACGAAGCCATCAGTACTTGTGTGCACACAAGGACAGTCGAGGTCTTTTGTGACAGCACTTACTGAGATGAGTGTTGAGAATGAATGGAACTGCACCTGATGGGCAGAAGTTACCCTTTGGAACGTGCTGCCTTGAATGACAAAACACCCCCTGCTATGCCAGGAGGTAGGACACGCTGCGCAGGAGCCCTTGCTGGCCATTGGCACGCTTCTAATCACAACTGATCAAACTTTATTAGCCTGGCATTTGCGGAGTTAAGCAGTGCTCTTCTGGATGGTGAAGCAGCAGGATCCCACCTGACGCTGGCAGGAATGGCTGCTGAGAAGAAATAGTGCTTTGAATGTTGTTTGCTGTTTTTCTGAACATTTCTGGATAGTAAGCGAGGACCTGTCGAAGAATGTGATGAGTTAGATACCAAAAGCAAAGTCTAAAGCTGCTTCAAGGAAGCATAGGAAACAAATATTCTGCTAAGGCAGAGCTAAGGCTGCCTTTCCTTCTTATCTGGTATTCATGCTGCTGCTTTTTTCTGTGTGGCACTCAGGGAACCACAGTCTCACCATTAGGTTACAAAAAGGTGAAGGCTTACTGCTTCAGTGATGGCCTTGGTATGAAATGCTATAGATTATTTCCTCATGGCACTGCTCTTACAGCAATAAGCCCAGGTATTAGAAACAAGGGAGTGATTCTGGTGCCTAACGGAGGATGTCTCAGTCTAACATGGGTATTCTCTGAAACCCACACTTACACTATGACATGCACGCTTCAGTACTCAAAGCCCTTCAGGATATGACAAACTTGTTTGGTTTTCTCTTTGAGGAAACGATAAATAATTCATAAGGCCCTTGCACAGGCGAGTTTTCTTCTCTAGGTGCAAACCACCCAACCTCCCAGTCTTCCCAGCAGCCCCAAGGTAAAGCCCTTTCCCACCCACCTGTTTCAGTGAGTGATGCTGCCACGGTGCCACCACTTTGGCCAGTGACCTGCACTCAACACATCTGCTGTGGGTCTCAGACCCCCCATTGCTGCAGATGCTAAACCCAGCCTGCAGACTGCCCAGAAGCCCTTCCTAAGCTACTTTGTTGGCACTAGCTAGTTAAAATTAATGTAGTCAGAAATCATTACTATATGTACTCAGAAATAATTTTTGCCTGTTTCTAAAAGACCAAATTAAAATGAAAACTGCATTACCAACACAAAACATCCAGTTCAGACAAATTGCTGCGAAAATTGTTGTATTGAAAATTTTCAGCTCCTTTCAAAAGTACATCAGCTTCTTCTCTCCAACATACGGACGCACAGCCATCCTACACACTTGTAATTGGTCCTGGATAGGCCTTGACATATTATTCCCATACAGCCATATCACCAATTTTAGCACAAATAGAAATGAGAGCAAGGAATGTATATGTATGAAAAACTTTACCTCCAGGACAGAGCTAGAGCTACCTAGATTAAGGCTGTTTTTTTCCACTCCTACAGACTGGCAGCTTTCTGCACCTCACAATCTAGGTAAACATCCCTTGGAGGTGAGAGGTGTTAACAAGTTTAGGTTAACACAGACAAATAATGGGAGTTACAGGCCAACTGTGAAACATGCACAGCAAAGATGATCTGAACGCTAACTCTGCTCTGCGTGGAGTGGACCAGCAAACCAATGCTGACTGATCAAAAGCAGTTTCATCAGAACACAATTCCATAGGAATTCTGGCTGCGTAGATGGTGGAGGGAGATGCTGACGAAGCAAGTGCCCATCCAGGACAATCACTGCTGCGAGTTTTGCTGTAACATATTTTGCAGGGTTTTGTGGTTTTGCAGAGCAGCTACCACATCCTCGTAGAGAGTGTTCACGCTGACACACAGCGGTTGACGTTGCAGCTCTGTCAGCTTGCAGGCAGCCAGAGTACAGAGGACACAGAGCAGCACCAAGAGCAGGACCCTCAGCACCGACCGCGACCAGGAGTGCCTGTGCCGGGGCGGCTGGGTGGGACGAGAACTGGAGGCAGGCTCTGTAACAAGAACATTTACAAGATGGAGAACGTGAGGAATTAATCAAGTATCTTCAACAGTCTACGTTCAGAAACAAACTGCTCAGGTAAGGCACTTTAGCCTGGGCTGCAGTTGTTTTTTGTCATGAATTTTCATCACTTAACTCCGATTAATAAGTAGATGCACGGGATCTGTTTAGGGTGAAAAGTTTCAGATTTAGTTTCAGGGGCAGCAGTGAAGAGGGTATAAAGCAACTCTTAGTTGCACAAGATCTGGTTTTGCACATAGAGTTCAGTGCAGTTAAAAAAAGTGAAGTTCTCAGGAACTTTCTGAATTTTGTAGCTTAGCAGTTCCTCGGAAATGCAGATGAAGGGGAAAAGGGCACAGGAACAGATCTCAGTAGAAGTCCTACAGGTTCCCCCTCACTCCCAGTACCGGGGCTGCATAAAAGCAAATCTGGCAGCATCAAAATGTGACAAAGATGAAACCTGATGCAATCCCACCCAAAATGGATACTACTTACTTCGGGTCTGCACATTTTCCTTTTTAGTTTTCTTTTCCATCTCTTGTTTTGCAGCTTTCTGAGCATCATATTCCCGTCTTCTACGTTCCTTTTCTTCTGCCTTCTCTCGCTTCCTCAGTTCCCTCTCCTGAGCCTCCTTTGCTCGCTGTTCTGCTTCACGCTTCTTCTCCATTTCTGGGCATTAATAGGAAGTTTTTTTCTTTTATGTAAAGGGTTGGCATTGCCTTCTTCCTTATTACCTGCTTATCTGTTCCCAATTGGAATGAGGAAACAAATAACTATCTTCTTTTTTTTTAATCTTTGGGTTTTTGGTTTTTTTGTTTGTTTGGGTTGTTTTTTTGTAATATTACATACCTTGCATTTTGCTCCCTCAGCCTTAGGCTTTCCTTAAAATAAATTCTGTGCTCTTCTTTTATACTTTTTTTCTAGGTAATCTATAGTGCATTCCATCTAGAGATCTATTATTCAGGCAAGAAATCGCATAGTTATTCCCCAGTATCCTTCTCCCTCCAGCCCTTCTACCCTACTGCTCCTGGAGTCCTCAGGATTTTGGCAGTTACAGGTATTTGTTAGGTGGCAATCAGTATGTTTGGGCATGTAAGAGATCAAGAACAGTCCTCAGCAGACAGCACGTGAGGGCTCTTTGTGCTTACCTCGCTCCGCCTGGAGCTTCCGTTGCCGTTGTCGATCCTGCTCAGACTGAATCGCTTTCATGTGCTGCAGCACCTTTAAAATCCAAGAAAACACCCTGAGGGCTCTGCAGAAGCTCCTCGCAGAGGCAGTTCCAAACAGAACGGCTGGAGTGCAGCTGAGGACAGTCAGCTGGGGCTGACCACCCACCCTCACCTACCCCTACAGGTGGGGCACTGAAGAGAAAGAGCACTCGCCCCTTCCCACAGGAATCTTTGGAGTAAAGAAACGGATATTTCTGTTAAAAAACAGATCTTTCCATTAAAAAACAAACATGGCAAACTGGTGCTAGCTGACACATAGGATCACAGAACACTTCTATTTATGTAAGCCTATAGTTGGCCAGAATTTCTCCAGAGACTTGTGCTCTGGACTATAAGCCTAGACGTGGATTATTTTGTCTGATTATGCCTCCACTTTCTTGGCAACCAGCATTTAGTCTGCGCTTAACTCCACTAATGGAAGAGAATCCTACTCAGCCCAGTGTTTGCTCCCAACAGGCACAGAAGCAGTGAAGTCAGTGCAGTGACCCTGCACCTCATGGACTGAAGAAACTTCAAACTGCTGCAGCAGCTGCCCAGCTTGCTAAGCAAAAAGAGGAAGAACCACAGCCAACAAAGCCAAGTAAGGAAAAAAGGAATAAATGCAGATTCCTTACCTTGACAGCAGCTTGCTTACACTGCTTCTCATCCAGACAGTCTCCTGCGACTTTAGCCAGTACAGGATCCAGGGGATTATCCTTCAGATCCAGCCACTTCAGGTTCTGCAGAAAGGAACGATAAAGGGGAGGCTGTAAGAGCACAGTGGTCCTGCAATTATTTAACAGATCCAAACCAGAATCAAAGAACTAGTTTTCACATGAAAGAACAGGTACAGAAGACAAGCAGAGAGCTTGAGCAGAGGCGTTTTCAATAGATGCGAGATAATTTCCACTGAGCTGCGGTGCAGAGCCAGCTGAATTTTGGAATGGGTAGTCAGCAGGATGGATGCTTTACCAGAGAAATCAACTTGAGAAGGATCACAAGACCCTGGGCTGCATCCCAAAGCTTTACGTAACTGCCCAGCAAACAGCTTTACCTTGAGCTGTGCAAAGCTGACTGGCAGGGTGACTAAACGGTTGTTCAGAAGGTCCAGGTGCTGCAGATTGACCAGGCGGCCAAAGTCCAAGGGCAGCTGTTGAAGCCGATTTTTACTCAAATCCAGTTTCACCAGGTGCATCAAACTGCAGAAGTCTGACTAAAAACCAAACACAACAAAACCCAGACAAAGCTTGTTAGCACCTTTACAGAGGAGCCTCAGCAGGGGGTATGTGGAGACAGCCTGCACCTTGCATAAGCCATAATCCTTAATTTACTACAGAACTGTGATGGAGAAAAATCACGCTCTCTTGCCTTGGCAGAGAGGTAGGAAACAGTGGGGCAGACAGACAAGGTGATGTGCAGCACTCCAACTGAAACAATCCCGAGCCTCCACTGCTGATGAAACTGGTCTGTATGCACGTGGGGATCCTCTGGCAGAGCCAGAGTGCAATCTTCATGCAGCGTAACCCTTTTCTCTCTCCTGCCTCAGCCAAAACCACCACCACCACTCGTGGCCCGTCGCTGATGGCAGAATCATTCAGCCACCCCTGGATGAGGAAAGTGCCAGTTCCAAACCTCCCGGTGAACTTTTACTGCAGCACAAGTTATCTTTTCTAAATACTTCCCAACAGACTCATCCCCACAAAGGCTCTGTAGCACCTTACCGGCAAGGAAATGAGGTTGTTACAGGACAAATCCAATATAGTAGCTTTTGGAAGAGCGGCCTGAAAGAGAAACAAAGCACTAAATCCCCATCGAGGTACACCCACACCCTTCCGACACCACCTGCTTCAGCGCCTGTGGTTTCTCCCACGTCAGTCTGTCCATCCCCCTCCGGCTGCCGCCGAGGTCACCTCTCCGCTGGTTTCTGGGTCTAAAGGCAGCACTTGGAGATGTGAAATAGTTGTGAACAGCGGCAGCTGCTCGCCCAAGCACGACGGGAAACGCTCCTCTGC